TCCTTTTGTGTAGTTTACATTTTATATCACATAGCCCTTTCATCTCACCCTAACATAAATAGCTCTTCTTGCCCATCTCATTATATGCATCTGGCAGAATCTAGACTATTCTATCATATAGTCACAGGCACTATTCCTGAAAGCCCTATACCATTTTTTTCCTCAGACAGTTATATTATCAAAAGCAACCCAGTTAAAATTGAATGGAGCACAAATCGAAAAATTCTACAGCCACACTGTGGTGTGGCTGCAAACACCATTCTTAAAAGCTCTGCACTGCCTCCATGCTCAGACAGTTATAATACCAAAAGCAGCTTAAATACATTTCAGCAGTGTTTATACTCAGAAGTCTTCCAGATGCCTACTGGTATTACAGCCTGCATTGCTTCAAAGGGCTTTTTAGCACCTCTCAGTTTAATTCCACATGAGCCATCTGACCAGACAGATAAACTTGATATGCTGATACTCAGCAAAAATTATATCTCTAGCACTTCAGCATTTTATCAGCTATTCTGGTGGAACCTTTATGTAACTCCTATTTGCCATGTTAGAGATAGAGTAAAAACTCTGCTAGCAAAGTTCTTCCAAGCTATCATGTACAAGCACACCTTTATTGTGTACATTAGAAAAACTATTTTGTACTCTACAACATACTTCTGTATAGAAAGCACATTTCAATGCAAAACTCTGGTCTGCCTTGACAGAGAAAATCTCAATAAAGCAAATAAAATGTATGGAGGTGTATACTTGGCAAAAAAAAAGTGGACAGCAAAAGAATTAATTGAGTTTGATTTTAATCTGTCGGTGGATATAAGTAAAATATATCACATTGCTGGCTATATTAATGCTGAGGACAAACATGTCTTTAAAATTGTACCTGCTATTTCTGTGCCACTTTCAGTACTTTGCTCTCGCACTGCTAGAAGCATGTTGCTAATGATTGAACAAAAGCATGGAGTTATAACCAAGTGCACAGGTGTAGATCTGGCATACATTTCACATAAATTAAACGAGTATGAATGTAAAAAATGCCCTTAGTTTCTCACAGTTTTTGAACCTAATAAAATGCCAATGACAAATGTGGAAAGAGTACAATTGTATCACAAAAGGCATAAAAGCCAGCTTAATCTTAAAGAGAAAACGAGATGGAAAAATGTCAAAAGCAATAACAGTGATGTTGTGGCCAAAAAAAAAGAATATAATAAGCTTAAATATAAGCAATCACTTTTTCCACCTTTACCATCCTCTGACCAGTTGGTTCATAAAATAGTTAATGGCTTCTGTGAGGAAACCTCTTTTGCAAATTTAGAAAAATATGGCTGTGCAGTCTGTGGAGCTCTAACAAGTATTAAAAGCTTATTATCTCTTAAGAACATTGATTCTAGCTTACTATTCTGCTTACAAGTTCCTGACATAACTAGAAAAGAGAGACACTCTAATTACGATTTCTGAATGTAATGAAGAAATGTTTTTTCAAAAGTAGCACTTTGGAAATTAGTTCACTTTCAGACCAAAATCTGCCTAACTCTCTATAGCTATCAATATTTGAGCTATTAACATGAAACTTGGCCTCTACATATCTATTATATAGGTCTACATGACAATAATTGTTTGAACATATAGGAGGAACCTGTTTTGACTCTTCAGCACTGTGTTTTGTGTTTGAGCCAGGGACTTAAACAAATTTCACAGATAGACCATTCTTAAAAAGCACAACATCTAGATGATTGTTATAAAATCAGATAAAGCATGTTAAGAGAGTCCAGAATATATAAAAAGATATACCAAATTAATTGTTTAAAGAGATGATTTGAAAAGAATAAAGTACAAGAAAAGACCAAATTAAGCGCCTAATAAGCGCTACAGCACGTTCTGCCCTCTTCATCACTTTTACTCTTTTTCATATATTTCTGTCCATCTATACTATGTAGCATAGGGTCTGCTATATACATACTAACTGTGTACCTAGTATGAAAATAGTTCAAGATAATAGTTCAGTGATAAAGTGCTGACTACTGGCTTTAAAGCTTAGTGCACAGTGTTGCACAATGGATTGTGAACTTAACACTGACTACAATCGTTTACTATTTTATATTTCTATTGTTCATACTAGCCAGCACCACTGTGAATATATTTAGAATTACTGGAAGTTATTTGGAATTACTGAAAATGTGCTATACATTCATTGCTCTTACTCCTCTCTACAGATCAATATATGTCCATAATTTACACAGATATTCCAGAAGTCCCCTTTACTATGCCTTGCAAGTATTAGGCCACCATATTGTGAATATTCAGACATATAAGCTCATAATTAAGCATATAGTCATGAGCTTGTGCATAAAGTTTAATTCTTCAAGCTGCCACACTTAGTGGCTGTTCTACTCCATTCTACCATCTCACAACACTCAGATATATCTTATAGAAATATATAGTCATACTATCTGCCATGATATCACTTCATTTTGATCTTTAAAATCAAAAATCATTGAAATCAAAATGATCCCCCAGCCAGGATTGAACCTCCAACCTCTACCCAATAAGACAACTGCTCTCTCAAAATGCGCAATTTGCCACCTCAGACCCAACTGAAGGGAGGAGTAAGTACACCTCATACACTTCTTTCACCTTAACCACCACTATCTCTGCTTACAACATGCTTCACAAGTGTAACTTCTTCAAGTCTTCATAGAGATTTGGCTTGCCCTTAATCTTTTACTTTGCTTGCTACCTTCTGGTAGCTTTTACTGATACTTTCTTGAACAAAATCACCTTACAAACCTTTGATACAAACTCTGAACTGGACTGGAATGAAATGGTTAGAGGCGCCATTTGTAAAAGCTCTACCCTGTCTTGCTCAGACAGACTGAACAAGCAGAGCAACCCAGTTGAGATTGAGTGGAGCCTGGGTAATAAATGCCTCCAGCCACTCTGTGGCATGGTTACAGGGGCCATCTCCAAAAGCCCTGTCCTGTCTTCATGCTCAGACAGGCCAGACCCCAAGAGCTTCCCATTTGAGACTGAGTGGAGCCTGGAATATAACTGCCTCCAGCCACTCTGTGGCACGGCCACAGGGGCCATCTTCCAAAGCCCTGCCCTGTCTCCATGCTCAGACAGGCTAGACCCCGAGAGCATCCCAGTCCAATATGAGTGGAGCCTGGGTGAACAAAGCTTCCAGCCACCTTGTGGCATGGCTACAGAGGCCATCTCTCCACATTCTGGCTTGATTGCAGGCACCAGGTATAAACCCAATAAGTCTTGCACTGTTTGACCAAGCAGACAGTTTAAAAACTAGTAAACTTGTGAAACTATACTTGACTAATTGTAGAAATGAAACAATAAGCCCTATACCTTGATCTTTGGAAGATGTCTTCATGCTACACTTGACCATGGTGGTATATATATGCTACGCCTAACAGACAAGTCACCAACACTGTACACATGGTTCATACTCTGCTATATCAACACATGCGGTATTCTCATGACTTTGTCACATAGCTAAAGTAGCTATATACTTATCAACTTACTTCTTCTACAACTTCAGTCCAAACATATCTAGCCAGCCTTTATCAGAGAAATTAACTGATGACTGTGAAATACCTGAGCCTATGACTGATGGAGGACCAAATACTGTACAGTCTAAGCAGAAGTGGACAGCTGAGGAGTTATTAAGATTTGATCCAACAACTAATGTGGTTCAAGGCAAGACTTATTGCATTGCTGGTTATATTCAAGCTTCAGATAGGAATATATTCTCTATTGTTACTACAGCTGCTATTCCTTTATCTTGTTTTGTGACAGGGCTACAAATCAGATGCTGCTTACAATTGGTCAGAAACATGGTGCAATCCATAACAAGATGCATGTTGAAAGAGCAACAAGCATAGTTAAACTAACTCAGCATGTATGCACACAATGTCCAGAGTTTATAACTGTATATGAGCCAACTAAAGACGCTAAGTCAAGTGCACAGAAAAATAAAAGCATATTATCAAAAGCATTGCAGTAAGATCCAACAAAGGAATCTCACACAATATCATGAACAGAAGGCAAACAATGAAGACTACAAAGCTAAAAAGAAGGAATATAACCAGACCAGATATAAGACTTTACAGTTTCCACCAAAGCCTTCAACACATGGCCTGATTACTGACATTGTCAATGGCTTCTGTGAGCAAACATCCTTTGTAAACCTTGAAGAATATGGATGTGTTGTATGTGGTGCATTAAAGTCAATCAAAGAGCTGACTTTACTTCAAGATATTGACCAAAGCTTTCTATCCTGCTTACAAGTCCCTGACATAACTCGTTGTGAAAAACACTTCACAAGGCAACCAACACTGGATATATCTGGTCCTGTGCTTGATAAGAGCTGTAAGCATATATGCTCAAAATGTTATGACAGCTTGCAAGAACAAGGAATTCCTGACTTAGCCTGAGCTAATGGTCTTTGGACCGGTCAAGTTCCACTACAGCTCCAAGGTATATCATAGACTGAGCACCTGCTCATGGCCAAGGTGATCAGAAACTATTGTGTTGTAAGAGTATCCAAGTCAAAAATGCATAAAATGCGAGCAAATGCTGTATGCCATACTGTGCCTATGCCCAAAATCCTCTCAGTCTTACCACCAAAGTGTGAGGAACTTGATGATGTATTGGCATTCTTGTATATTGGTCCAACTAAGCCTACACCTGAGGATTACAAGCGTACATCATTTTTAATCAGGCATGACCATGTGTTAGCTGCATTGGAGTAGCTCAAGCTTAATCACTGTGACTATATGGATGTCGAAATCTCTAAGGACCGTATGACAGAATATCCAGAAGATGTTCCACCTGTCAATGTAGATTACCATGAAGCACAGGCTACAAAAGATGCAGAATCCATGGCTGTAAATGATAATGAGGAAGAGGATGGAACCAGTGAAGGAAACTGCCCATTTACTGTCCATACCTTGACTACTGACCAGCCTACTAACTTGCTCAACAGAGATGAGCGTGAGACTATGAGAGATAAGGCTTTGAAACACTTCAGGCAAGGTGGAAAGGCATTGGCTATTGCTCATAAGAAAGAACCAGAGAGCTTGTATGATAATCCTCAACTATATCCACAGATGTTCCCTTGGCTCTTTCCATATTGTCTAGGTGGCCTTGGCAATAACAGAAGTCAGCAAGCTGTGTCTGAAATGCTTCATAAGAAGCACTTACTTATGTACCATAATAAGAGATTCCAGATGGATCCATACTTTTCCTTGATTACATTTAATCATGAGCAGATTAAGAAGGCTACTACTGGAGAGTATTTGCTGGCTAACAAAGATAACTTTGACCAAATCTCTACTCGCTTACTCAACACCAAGGACTCTGTGCTTACAGAAATGATTGAGAAGCTTGAGAAAGGCCTTGTAAAGACTGATGACTTGACACCAGAACAGTAAGAGTGTTATAAGATTATTAATGATATAGACTACATAGGAGCACATGTGCCTGCATCTAGGACAAGCCACAAGCACATGAGAAACCAGATCTGGTCTTTGACATCATATCTCGGTGCTCCAAGTTGGTTTATTACATACGCTCCTGCAGATATCAAGCATCCAATTGCCATCTACCTAGACACTAATGAAAGAATCTTTCCCGCCAAGCTATCAGAGAATGAACGCTCTAGGCTTGTAGCAAATAATCCTGTAGCTGGAGCTCGATTTTTCAAGGTCACGACTGAAGCTTTCATCAAACATGTAAGCACGCTTGGTTATAACAGTAAGCATGCAGGATTGTATGGCAAGACAGCTAAATATTATGGAACTGTTGAACAGCAAGGTAGATTGACTCTACATATGCACATGCTTATATAGATCAAGCACTCTCTAACCCCTTAAGAAACTAGACATAAAATCTTCTCCATGTGGTGATGACCGCCAACACTTGTGTACAGCCTGTAAATCAAGCATGTCATGGTGGGAACAGTTCACTAAGACAGTGAAAGAGCTGCTCTTCTTGACCAATGTGTACTCCTGTAACAAAGGCTGTAAGAACAACAAGTATGGTACTTGTCAAAGCAGATTTCCTCGTCCAATCCTGCTAGAAACTCAAGTAGATCCAGAGACAGGAGCTCTGAACTTGAAGAAAGGAAAGGCCATGCTTAACACCTTTTCACCTGTGCTTACATATCTTCTGAGATGCAACACTGATGTCACAAGCTTACTCTCTGGCACAGCTATCAAGTCTGTTGTAGTCTATGTTATAGTCACCATTGAAGACACACACAATGCTTGAAGTCGTGAAGAGGATTATTTACCAGAGTCAGAGATGTTAGCTGGGCAGGTTAGTAGAGCAGTCAAGGCCAGAAAGGAACTCACAAAGGTTGTAAACTGTCTGACTTCACAAAGTGAGATTGGTGGCCCCAGGGCATGCATGTATCTGCTAAACCATCCAAACCACTACACCAGCCACTTATTCCAAAGGTTTTACTGAAGATCATATGTGAATGAGGTCAGGAACGCATGGGAACCTGCTCTATCTGGAGAGGAAGGCAGAAAGAGCCAGTCAGAAGATCAGAAGGTTGTGATAGCCAACAGTGAAGCCAAGGTCATTGGAGTTAACACTGTGATGGACTACATATACAGACCTGAGAAGTATGAGTCAGTATGCTTGTATGACTGGGTAAGGAGCTCAGTGAAAGGTAAGATGTCCAAGAGAATAGCTGAAGGCAATGAAAGAGAGGGAGAGTTTCTTGTAGATGAGATTATGTCACACAAGCACTAGAGAAATTTGGAGCTTTTTTGTTGCAAAAAAATGCAAAAACAGCTTGTAAAAATAAGTTAAAAGATGTCATATTTTTTCTCGGTATCCGGCAGCTGAGCCGACTGTGAGCTAGGCCGTCTATCAAAGTGCCCTGGGGACGGCGGCACCCAGCAGGTAATCGGCTCGAATGTGGGATTGCCGAGTTGCCGGGCTGCTGGATACCGAGCGAAAAAATACGGCCTTTTCTTACTTTTTTTTCAAGCTTTTTTTGCATTTTTTGCGACAAAAAGTTCCAAATTTCTCTTGTGAAGTGGATAGGTCAAAATTTGAAGTTTCTGATAAAGTGGAACCTTGGAGATCAGACCTGGATATCCAAATCAGAGGCAAATCATTTGGAGGCCCTTGACATATACCTAGACAAGCTTGGTGTTAGAATTGTTAAAGACCTTCCAAGGATAGCCAAGGATCATGTTAAGAAAGAGAGCTATGTAGAGAATGATCAGCTTGTGGAGCTAGACTGGAACTCAACTGAAGATCAGTCTCTTTGACAAGAAGACTTAGAAGAAGAGGAGATTGAATACAAGCAGGAGTTTAGCCAGGATGAGAATAGTTCTGATCCAGATATTCCTACTTCTGATGAGCCAAGTGACTTCACAGCATAGGCAAGATTCACAGAAGACTATCCACAACATAGTACACATCATGTACACATGTGCATAGAGGCAGAAGCCAAAGTCCCAGACTTTATTGGTGGAGCATTACCTAGAAAGGATAAAGGCAACAGAGAAGATTATTGCATGACCATGCTCACTCTGTTCAAGCCCTGGCGCACTGGCAAAAATCTCAAGTCAGAAGAGAACGGCTGGAATGATATCTTTACTGATTATTCATTTACACCAAGACAATCAGAGCTCATGAAATTCTTCCACATGCGCTATGAGTGTAATGATGCCAGAGATAACAATGCTGCAGCCAGAAAGAAGGGCCTTGCCTCAGGTGATATGCCATCTAATATAGATGAGGATATACAAGAGAATCTGAATAATCTTTACTATGGTGATGAATTGCTTGACCAACTTGGTGAAGAGCAGCTTACTGAGATAGCGGTGTTATTTCCTGTGTTGTATGTGATGCTACAGCTTCTCTGCCCTATCATCATTCTTCTCTTCCATATCTCTATATCCTGAATTATCCTCATCCTTTTTGCTGTTTTCCTTCGCTTTCTATCCACAGTAGACCACTACTTCATCTGCTCCAGTGTCAGGCTTGGATGTGATTATATATGTAGATATGCGCCTTGTGATGTGCCCTTATGTCTGTGGAGGCTTGTATTTGGGCCTTCTTCAATTGCTCATCCACAACCTCCATTTATGGTTTCCAGCACTCCTCTGGTCGAGTTTGTCTCCCAGGTTGAACACGCTGATGAGTATATGGAGTGGTCAAGAGGATATATTGCCAGATTGTCCAGAATGCAGGATGCTGAACGCTTATTACATACCACTGGGGCTATGGACAAGTTTAGTGAAGATATACAGGCAAGAATCGCACGGATTAAGGTCAGCACATAAATGGGAAGAGCTTCTGGCAAACAAGAGAGCAGATATTCTCAACGCTAAGCATGGTCAGACAAGTGAAGCTGTGAAGGCAAAAACACAAACTAATTCAGATGATATTAACACTGTTAAAATCATTGACAAGTCATACTTGGATGCCTCCTTTGTACCTCCATCTCCAGAGTCCAAGAAGCTCATTGATAATACTATCAAGAAGTTTACCTTGAACAGAGAGCAAAGGAGAGCCTTCTGCATCATTTCCAATCATGCTAGCAAGCCCTGTGGTGAACAGATCAAGATGCATCTTGGTGGCATGGCAGGCACAGGAAAATCACAAGTAATCAAAGCCCTTATCCATTTCCTCAATGAGCGCAATGAAGGCCATAGATTCTTGTGTATGGCACCTACTGGAGCTGCAGCTTCACTCATTGGAGGATCTACTTATCACCATGTGCTGGGCTTCAGTGCCTGTTATGGACAAGATAAATCCTCAAGTTATAGCTCAACATCTGCTGCTGTAGACAATCTGCGTGGTGTAGAGTATATCTTCCTGGATGAAGTGTCAATGGTGGATAACAATGAGTTCTACAAGATTTGTGAGCAGATGTGTATAGCCAGGAATAAGCGTGATGAGCCATTTGGAGGAATTAACATCATCGTAGCTGGAGACTTTGCTCAGCTGCCTCCTATAACCTCTGGTGATGTCTTGTATGCTGGAAGTGTTACATCTGCCCCACACTCTGCAAACTCTGTACACAGCCAGAAGGCAGCTGCTGGCAAGGCTCTGTGGCACCAGTTTACTACAGTGGTTATTCTGAAGCAGAACATGAGACAGAAGAGCCAGACAGCAAATGATGGGAAGCTGAGGAAATGCTTGGCAAATATGAGTTATGGAGCCTGCCCAGATGCAGATATCAAGCTATTGAACTCAAGGATTGTAGGACGAGCAAATGGTAGACCCAATCTGTCAGATCCCAGGTTTCATCATGTATCCATCATTACCTCATGGAATGCTCACAGAGACAAGATAAATGAAGTGAGATCTGTACAGTTTGCTGAGGAAGCTGGGAAGTCACTTCAGGAGCTCTATAGCAATGACAAGTGGGAGGCAGATGTGAAGGAAAGTAGGAAGAAGAAGAGAGGCCAAGCTCATGAGGTCAATCCAAAAAGGATAAATAATGAGATCAATCCTTTCCTCAAAGAGACCTTGTGGAGTTTACCTCATTCATGCTCACAGAATCACCCTGGTGTATTGAAGCTATGCATTGGTCCACCTGTGATGATCAAGAGAAACTTGGCCACTGAGTGCTGTGTAACCAATGGAGCTGAAGGCAGAGTTGTAGGCTGGAAGTCTAAGCCCTTGGATGACAGTGGAAAGATGCAGCTAGAGACTGTGTTTGTAGAGCTTACCTGTCCACCTAAGCCAACACAATTGGAGAGATTACCAGCTAATGTGGTGCCTATATCTCAGGTAGCTGTGGCCACCAAGTGTATGATGCCAAATGGCAAGGTCTTGACTATCAACAGAGATCAGGTCCCACTTGTGCCTAATTTTGCCATGACAGACTACAACTCTCAAGGCAAAACAAGGCCAGACAATGTGGTTGACCTGCACAACTGCAGAAACCATCATTCTGTGTAAAGATGTCTTTCCAGAGGTTCATCATATGAAAGCACAGCTATTATCCAAGGATTGATGACAAGGAAATTAGGAGTGGTACATCAGGCTGGCTGCGCCAGGAATGCAGAGAATTAGAGGTTTTAAATGAGGTCACAAGGCTACTGTACCATAGGAAAATTGCTACAAGTGTTGGTGGAGTAACAAGGAAGCAAGTGATTTACACTTAAAGACAGTGGATGGAAGATGACTTTGTACCCAACAGCATGCCCAAACATATCAAATGGTCAAAGGAACAGCCATAGCCAAGCTATGAGTCTGATGATGAGATGATGGCTGAAGAATCGTAGCCAACAAGTCATCAAAAGAAGGACAACTCCCAGCAAAGGAATAACACCCGAGCTACTCAAACTGCAAAGAAATGTCGAACAAATCCTGGGTATTTGTGGCTGCCAAGGGTACAATAGCTTTGAAGGCACTGAGAAATGACAAGAAGCCTGTAAAAAAGCGAAAGTCGAGCACAGAAGCAGAAGAAGCTGGAGTTATCACCACCAAGCTCAAGAAGCTCAAACTTGATCATAATAATACCATGACCACTCAGAAGTGAGGCTTTGATTGGAGTGATTACAGCTGTGCCTATGATAGCCTGTTTGCTATACTGCTCCAAGCACTGTATGATCCAAGTTAATCAACGTGAAAGTTGACTTCAAACCAACTACCTATGTTAACCTCACTCGCCAAGGCATGCAAATCAGCAGAAAGGAAGAACTTATCCTTGGACACTGCTAGAGATTCAATCAGAGCTAAGCTACATGTGATAGACCCTGTAGTGTTTCCACTGCACACCAATGAGGGTACTGAGATTCATGAGCTGTGTAGCTATATGCTTGGACTATTAAAAGACTTCTGGCACAAGGAATATATGTGTACATTATGTGGAACCAGGCAAACAATTGGTAGAAGCAAGAACATGACCTATTCTGACTTGCTCCTTGTATGCTCCCCATACAGATGGCAGAGACAAGGTATCATGAGTGGTACTGCTCATGAGAGAACTCCACTAGAGTGGTTACATGCCAATACAGGACAAATAGCCAGTAGTCCATCTCTTTCTTCCCATTGATCCGCATTTGACTTGAAAGGAAATGCGTCAGTTTTTCCTAGTTATGCTGATCGTACTTGTTCAGCGATGTCGTTATGTGTAAGATGTTTCTGAATATCTTCTGCCAATTTATAGTCCACACTTAAAGTGGGTGCTTCAATTCGATGTCCGCGATGATTACATCTTCTGTGAATAATGGATTTGGTAGGAGAATTGTGGCGACAAATTTGTCTTCGGGTAGTAATACTTCTTCTGTGTTGTCACATTTTGTGTCAGCTAGTGCAGAGGCTCTTGTCATAGCGTCTGCTTGAATGAGTCTAGTGCCTGCGTGGTGTTCGAATTCATAATTAAACTGGGATAGGAATAGTTGCCATCTTGCTTGTCATCTATTTAGTCACTGTGGAGATTGGAAGTACGTGAGATTCTTGTGGTCTGTGAGGATCCTTGTGGTGCTTAAATTTCCCTCTAGGTAGTGGCGCCATGCTTCAAGCGCTCATACTATTGCCAGTAATTCTCTATTGTAGATATTATAGTTGTGTTCTGCTGGGTTGAAGGATTGGAATAAGTAGGCAACCAGTAGCCAATCTTCGTCGATGTCCTGTTGTCGGAGTACTGCTGCTGTCGTGAAGAGCAAGGTGTCTGCTTCAATGAGAAACGGCTTTGTGGCATCTGGCATCAATAGAAGAGGCGCTGACATAAATCATAGTTTCAGCGTATTGAAAGCCTTCTGACATTCGTCTGTCCAATTGAATGGCTTGTCTCTCTTGGTAAGTTCATTGAGCAGCTTGGCAATGTCTGAGTAGTGGTCAATGAAGTGTCGATAAAAATTGCCAGATTCTAGGAATCCTTGAACTTGCTTGACGGTAGTCAGTCTTGGCCAGTCTAATATTCCTTTGATCTTGACTGGGTTCATGGCAACTTGGTTATATGATACGAGTGCTCCGAGGAATTCAACTTGCCATGCATCAAAGGTGCATTTTTCGAGTTTGAGGAAAAGGTCGTTGTCATGGAGTCTTTGAAGGATTCTTCGTGTTTGCTTTTTGTGTTCATCTTGATTGGATGAATGGATAAGCATATCATCCATATAAATGACTAGCCATCCTTCATTGACCATGTTGTGAAATAGATCATTCATCATTGCCTGGAATGTTGCCAGGGAGTTGCATAGTCCAAAGAACATGACTGTTGGTTTAAATAGTCCTCTGTTTGTTTTGAAGGCCACCTTCCATTGGTCTCCATCTTTGATTTGTACGTTGTTGTATTCTGCTCGTAAATTAAGCTTGATGAATATGCTTCATTCTTTGAGTTGATCGACGAGGTCTGAAATAAGAGGAAGTGGATATGCATTCTTGATAGTGCCATCGTTCAAATACCGGTAGTCTTGACATGGTCGTAACGTTCCGTCTTTCTTTCCTATAAAGAAGAATGGTGAGGCTATTGGCGATTTAGATGGTCGTATGTAGCTTTTTTGCATATTCTCATCTAGAAATTTGTCGAGTTTTTGTTGTTCTAGGGAAGATAATGAATAGACCTTGCAATCTTTAGGAATGGAAATCTGGTTTCAAATCGATGGCATGGTCGTATGGTCTTGATTCCGAAAACCGTTTGGCTGCTTGTTTCTCAAAGACGTTTTGATAATCTTGGTATGCAGTTGGTAGTTCGTTCTTTATATTGCTTGTTGTGCCATTGCCATAGCCGGGTGGATTTTCGCATTAATTCATAAAGATGCTATGTCTTTAGCCATTTCATCTGGTTTGGTGTGCATGATGTATGCATAGGAGTCTCCTGGAGTGTATGCAAGGATATAGTCTCCTTTTTCACATAGTTCAGCTTGTATGATGGGTTCTGAGGCGATTATCAAAGAGATGTATATAGACCGATCCAGAGGTGCTCCTTTTCTGAGAAGGTGCAGCACATGTCAGGCTATTTCTTCTGGTCTGGCTTTTTGTATTGTTTCGGCATTGGTGGATCCAAACCCTTTTGATCCTCGTTTAGTTCCTGGTAAAGTTTTGACTTGTTTGGATTTTGCCATAAAGATTTGTTTGAGTACTAGTTGCGCCACTCGATCCCTTTTGACTACCTTGTGATCTTCGATTTTGGAGTTGATGAGGAGTATGCAGATTTCTCTAATATAGTCTTTGTCGATTACTCCTGCTCCTACGTCGATTCCTTTGACTGCTAGTCCGCTTCTTGGTGCGCTTTGTCCATAGGTTCCTTCAGGAATATGAGCACTTAGTCCTGTTTTGATAAGCATGCAAAATTGAGGTGGTATTATCTGGTCTTCACTTGCATAGAGATCAAGTCCTGCAGCTTCTTCTGTTCCTCTAGTGGGTATTTGTTCTCCTTCTGAGATAGTGACCGCGAACTCTGCTTCTTCTCTGAGGAGTGCTGAGTCATTGAATAGGAGGGTATTGATGTTTCTTCCTTCATTATCCAGTAATTCTTCAATTTCGCATCTTTGAATTCTTTTTGAGAAGTCTAAAGTGCCTTTGCTCCAGTTGATGAACGAGTTTTTTTCTTGTAACCAGTCCATGCCGAGGATAATGTCTTGCTTGCCTAATTGTGTTAACTAACAACTTTTCTTTAGTAGGTTGGTTTCCCACATTCATGTCGATTTTGACTTCATTGCGAATGAACCCTAATTTGTTCAGAGTTCCGTCAACATTGAATACCTTAATTGGTTTCCTCAAGGGCTTTTCTTGTAGTCCTAATTCCCAGACTGTTGATCGATTGATGAATTTGCCTTGTGCTCCTGAGTCGACTAGTGCAAGGACTTTTTCAACAGTTTCTTTCACTTTGATTTGGATGGAAATACGCATTGATTTTGATTGCATGTCGGCAATTAATACGGAGGAAATTGATATTCTAAGAGGCGTTGACGTTGGGGCAACACTTAGACATGAAAATCCGGATTAGCTTTGAGGTAACGGGTAAAGAGATCCTTAGCCTCGTTTTAAGAGAGTTTGGTCACTTCTTTGACCAAATCTCTGAGTTCGTTGTCGAGATCAATGAGGTTAGGTTCCTTCCTGACTGTTGTGGTGTGGACATTGGTGGAATTTCCTTTATTCCACTGTTCAGAGCATTGGTTTGTCTGAGGGTGATTGCCTTGTTGCAAGTGATTGAGTTGGTATCTTCCTTGCTGGTCGTGTTGCTGGGGTTTCTTGGGCAAAGGGCAGTTTCTAGCAATATGTCCTTTGCCTTCACAATTAAAGCATCGTTCTTCACGATGTGTTTGGTCTTGGGAGACAGCGTCGATATCCATGGCATCGCGTTCCTGAGTTTTTCCTCCTCCTCCATTTCCTCTGGAGTAAGAGGTGGTTTTGTCGACTCTTCTCCTTTGTCTTCCTTGTCCAAGCTTATCCCATTCTATTTCTGTGTTGTCCAACTTGAGTGCTTCTTCTTGCCATCCTTAGAGTGTGATTGGCTTCTTTTCTCATTGGAAGAGAGTTTTTGCAAGAACAGATTTGAGTCCTCCTGTATAGGTACGTTGGAGGTAGGTGTTTGTACTTGGGTTGCCATACTTGGCTTCCTTGACAAGTTGATTGAATTCGACATTGTAGTCATTGACTGAGTCGAAGTCTGCTTGCATTATTCTGTCATGTTTTACGATGGTGTCAACTTTGCTATCCACTTTTTGGAAGGCTTTAGCAAAGTCTTCTTTGAATTTGGTCCATGTAGGCCATGCTGTACTGGCTTCGTATTTGTCAAACTTGGTGTGACACCAGTCGTGCAGTTTCTTCTCAGTGTTATTGAGTATAAAGAGAATTTTCTATGCATTCTTGGTTGTGTCTTTGCCCTTAAAGTAGATGTCGCAGTCTTCCAGGAAGTCCTGAATTCGTTGCGTGCCATCGAACTTCTGGGGCTTTGGGGTAGAGGCATGTTCATTCACTTTTGAAGTGTCTTGATCATTTCTCGCATGAGA